AGAACAAAAAATACTTGTGTGGCTGCCATCATACTTTAGGCGAGGTGCCCAAGAACTGCCTGTGTGCAGGAAGACCATAGATTAATATCATTGGATATTATCAGTGATGTGTTGCTTTGTTCACTCTGATATCAGTGTAACAAATTCAATTAGGCTGAAGGACTAATGAGCAGTTTAATTATCTAAGAATCCTACAATTAGTGTTTACTTGGGTTTACGCTGAACACACTGGAATTCAAAAGTCTAAATTGATCACAATCCAAGCTGTGCTCTGTATGACAGCACAGCCAAACCTTCTGGGATAACTAAGCAAGATAAAGCCTGTTTAAACAGCGATATTAGATCTAATTCTCAAGAATGGGCCATAGATCTTTCTACAATATAAACAGTTGACTGTGCATTCTAGAAGTGTTACAAAGCATGTCGATGGTTTAGTCTGGCTTCATGAGCTTCTTATCTGTCTCACGTCCCCGATTAAGATCAGGTCTATACTCCTGTCCTCCTTACCCACTTTCTCCGAAAGCCTCTCCATGCCAGCCCTCACGTGACTTACAAACATGCTTGTTTATGTAATTTTTACTGTTACTTTACAAATGCAGTGTATACTTTGTCTTTGAATGATTACATTTTAGTCAATTTAGCATGAGTGAATCTTGAGAGCAAATGCCAACATTATTTTGGTGAATTTTATTTTCTGTTTATTTTTTCTTAGTTAACAAGTGAGACAAATGTAGGTACACACAAAGTTGTAAATGGCTTCGGGTGCAGCGCTGGGGAGTTTTTATTTTTTTACTTATCCCTAAAGGAGACAATTGTATATCATGATATGTTTTTATTAGAATAGTGGAAACCATTCCCACTTATGCCAGTATGTCTGCTATGACATTCACAAAAGTTTAGAATCATTGGTCATATTAATAATTGCTGTTATTCGGTTTTCACTCATACACTCTGGATTAAAACACTGTGAGCTAGACACCAGAAGGTATTCCAAGGTGTTTTTTTAAATATTTCATTTTTTGGGGGGGGGGGGGAAACCCAACATTTATAAATAAAGTTCAATCCCTTCTTTAGCTTTCAGAAACTCATGGTTGTTGTCGCTGCTTAGGAAATGGAAAAACTACCAACCTTAAGTCCATTGAAATCAATTGTTTTAATGTATGTTGTTTCAAAGATGTGTTATTGGCATTTTGATATTTTGATTGGCTGTTTCTTGAAACCTCTTTCAATAAGCAATCTTCCTACAACTGTTGTGACTGAGACTGAGGATGGTTTACAGAATGCAACTCAAGTACAGTTTAGTTTCTTGTAAGTTTTAAACAACTAACATTGCAATAGTCCCACCTTGTAGATGCAGCCTCCTGTAATTGATCCGCAGCATGTAATATCTCACAACCCCCATTTAAAAATGTATATCCTGACACCCCTAGAGTTATGTTTTTCAAAGTTGTTTTATCGGATTCTTAAATGCCAGGGTTTGTGTCTTGTTCTGAGGAAAGTGGTTTGTTCAGAAGCCAAAGGCTCAACGCTGGTGGCAAGACTAAGCATCTCCCCATTTTGTGTGTTTATTATGCCAGCTTTGAATGACTTGCGCAGTTTCGTTGTTTTCTCTTTGATCACTTGTACCCACTGCACTTTATGATGTCACTGGCATCCAATTAATGGGTTTGTTTGAAGCCCAGCCAGGACTTCTGGGAAAAGCGTCACAGGAAGCCTTTTGTGTAAACCTGTTTACAAACAAGCCAGGCTTATCAGCCTGACTGGTTTAAATCAGAAGCGATTCACAAACAAGGTCTCTGGTAGCTAACAGGTGTGTCAGAGAGCCTACTGTGATTACTGTGTCTACTATACCTATTGACTGGTTGTCCTGGTTAGTTATCATAACCTAGACACATGTTTGAAATAAAGACATTAAAATACAGAACAAACATATCAGTCAGGAAAAATTAGCAGTAAAGAGTCGGATTAGTGTCCCTTCAGAAAGTTGATTATCTTTCTCATCCAGTCTACAGCTGATAACTCCCTCTCCTCTGAACCCCCCTCCTCAGCATTGTGTAAATGGATTACGCACAAGATGCGTTAAGCTCTTGCTGAGGAGACTTCAACTCCTAGGTGACCATGCAGCCTGGATTTGTTGTGCTATTGCACAACTAAACTGGAATCAGCCCACACGTTGCAGGAGAACGGGGTGTGTTTTATAAATACAAGTTACATGTTGAATTCTAGCAAATGATATAATTGCAATATTGTGGTAAAGCTGGGGCTAGTGCTGTCCATCAGGCCCTTTTCCAGTGTTTTGTGGTGGAGACAACTGGTCGGTCACTCTGCTAACATCTGTAGCGAGCTCATACAGACATCCTTATGAAACTCAAGCCAGCAGGAATTGAGACTAGGGTTGGGGTTACGAAAGCTTGTTTTGCTTTCAGTGGAGGTGTTACAGCATGGGGACACATGCCTGCCCAGTTCACTGATTTATCTCTTCTAAAATGCCTTAATCTGAAGGGATGAGTTAAATAAGATTTATTACTCCATGGATATTGCTAAAGTGTGTAGTGCTGTGGTCCTCAGGAATTAAATATGTCTGTGTTACAGAATAACTGTGTTTTATGTTTTGGAATACTTCACATATCACATAGTATTCATTATGCTGATCTGTCCTTAAAGGGCCATATCTTAATTTTTTGTGCAGCTTATTTTTATCCTAGATTGGTAAACAGCCTCTTTTTCTTCATGTGCCGTTAAGACTACTGTATGTAAATGACCTCTGTTCTCAAAGTCTGCCCTGAATTGTGGTCAATTCAAAAACAGTCTGGGCTCCTTATAACTTCAGTGTGAATGAGGCGGAGCTAAACCGCTGTATAGGCAGTTAATGTACATGTGTTGGTCTTCATGACATTGCAAATAGAATTCATTCAAAACAGCTTGATTTCATTTAGTTTTATTCTTTTATTCTAAGAAAGTGAGGGAAATTCATTTTTGCCTGACCCTTTAATAACCTACCTCTTTGTTTGCTGTTGACGTTGTGCCGTGCTGCCCTTTGTCTTTGCTAGATTGCCAGTTAGTTCAATGCCTTTTCAAATCTGATGTTTATACTATATTGTTTTCCTCTATCTTGCCTGGATACAAACATGTTAAAGCTTTTCTGAAGCTCTTAGGGGAAAGATATTGAAAAGTTTGGCATTTATTAGCTTAGGAAAGGCCCAGTTTTTTTGCAAATGTGTTCCCTACCAGCAGGTCATTTGCTTGATGTAGAAATATTACGAATGTCTTTATTTCTTTATTTTTTCATTGTCTTGCTCCCATTTCTCTTCACATTCCACAGCCAAAAGGCAAAAGCCTCTTTAGTCTGATGTACAGAAGAGTACTTAGTCTTGACTGATGGTTGGCATTATGATATACAGGCTGTCCTCTCCTTTGTTCTCACTTTGTCTCTTTGAACTCATTAGGCTCATTACATGCAGCTAGGAAAAACATGATAATGTACTATGAATTGTTTGGGAAATGGACATAATATTGGGTTAATTAAGGTTCATACTAGGGCTGAACGATTTTGGCAAAATGTCTAAATGCAATTTTTCTGGCCAATATTGTGATTACAATTTAAAATGCAACTGTTTATAACTGAGGTATAAACTGAGGTATGGGATTTTTTTTTTGGCTAAGAAGATCAATGTATACTTTTCTGGCTTGAGACTTGAAATCTTATCACAGTGTGCCAGCCTGTCAGTTATTTGTGTTTGTAATTTCACAGCAGTTCACAAGCTCCATGTTATTAGCTAAAATTTCCCTGCTTAAAACTTCTTATCAATGTTGTTGATAATAGACTGTAAGACAATAATAAAAATTGAAGCTTCTGCGTTTTGAAAATTGCAGTTTCAATATAAACGATTAATCTTTCAGCCCTGGTTCATACCATGGCCTAACCCTAGGTGGCATGTCCTCTATAGTGGTATTGTTGTCGAACAACATTTATTTTTAGTAGTAGTGGTATTGGATAGATAACTGTAACTTGGTTGACTGCAGTGTATGTCATTTGCTGCATGCTTCAGTCTGTTTTGAAGGAACAGTTAAAAATACATAAGAACTAAAAGCTTCCCTTCTGGAAATCTGTTTACTCTCTGGTTACATTTAGAATACTCTGTAAGGCTCCCTTTGGTGTAATTTTAAGAGAGGAAAACATTCCAATCAAAACAAGCTAGAGCACTGTGAAAAAGTCAGAAACCACCCTTTATTTAATTTCCAGTCAAAAAAGGCCATTAAGTACAAATTATTTTTTTTCAGCGTCAGGAAAAAGCAGAAAACATAGAAAATTACACAATTATTATAATAGAGAATTTTCAATATTTAGTGGATCCACCCTGTATTACAACTTCCATTCTTTTCAGGAGACTGGCTGAGTGATTTTTTTTTTTTTTCAGTAACAGCTTCTTAACAGCTACACATCCTTTCAGGCTCAGAGTACAAGTTGTCTTCTCACATTTTTTTCAGATCCAAAGCAGGAGTGGAGCTTAGTTGTTCTCATGTGTTTCAAAGAGAAGAGCTTTAGGTGCTGTTTATCTGATGGTGACCGTTTTAATGGTCTACCAGGTCTTGCATGATTGTTCCCAGTCTTTTATTAACTCTAGTTTTTTTTTTCACAGATATTGTAATACCAAAATGTACTTGGAAACTATTGTGATATTTAATTTTATCAATATTAGTCAGCACTACTGTGACCTTGACTGCAGAACAGTATTGTGCACGTTTGTCCAACAGCTTTGGCTCTTTCTAGTACTTCTCCTAAAAAAGAACCTATAGAGACACCAGGTTCACTTGGCTAAACTCACTGTCACGGCCGACATGTAGCCTATATTCTACAGCTGCAGTGCAACTACCTAGGTTTATTGGCCATGCTATTTTTGTAGAGAGAGAGAGAGAGAGAGAGAGAGAGAGAGAGAGAGAGAGAGAGGGAGAGAGGGAGAGGGAGAGAGAGAGAGAGAGAGAGAGAGAGAGACATGCAGGGGGCGGGTTTCCACTTCGCCTAAGAGCATTAAGAGTGCATTTGTTTGTGACATTAGCAGTGTGCTCTGTCAGTGTCATATGGCCAGCCAGGGCAGATTCAGCTGCTTCGGAGCAGAGACAGTTATCAGTGTCCTTTCTGCTTTTCTCACCTCAGTCCCGGGCTGAACCCTGCACGGCGCGCGGCAAGCGTCGAGGTAAGTGCCGCCCAAGCCAGAGGAAACACATGCTTGTGTTAGAGGAGTAACGCAGAAATGCCCAGAGAGGGTCTTTGCTCATGCTTTTGTTTAGTTATTTCTCTACACATGGTAAATATCCAAAAAGGTGTGGGATGTTCATGACTTGAGTTGGCCCTTGTTTGTAGGTTTGAGTCCATAGTGCCTCGTGTTTCAGAAGCTGGCGCAGGTGAGCACTGCTTTTCTATAGACTGCTAGTGTTGTCCCTGCTTCCTGACTTTGTACCTGGTGCATACTTAGTCCTTGTGTCATATCTAGTTGTGTCAGTGGTAGAAGGATGTCACGTGTATGCCCCGAAGTATAATTTAGACATTTTGCAGGCCCTTTAGGGGCCATTCCACAGGAGGAATGGAAATTGACACAGATGTAACTAGTATTTCTAACTAGTATAATCAAATAAAATATTTTTTCCTCTATCTCTGTTACCAAATTAACTAAGACACTGTTGGCTCGCTGTTTGTGAAATGTTCTGACCCTGTATTGAGCTGCTAGTGAGCAATGAGAGGTGAAAGGGAAGGAGTGAGAACCCCCTGCTGTGAAAACAGTTCACACCTCTCCACAATGACAACTGTGCTGAGATAAAACGGACGGCATGACAGCGGCTTTCTTTATATCAAAGAATTATAAAAGCTGTGTACAACACAATAAGCACTTTTATTATTGTTGACATGCTTGTTCACCTACGAAGATGAAAATCCAGTTTTCTTCTGTTTTTTTAAATCAGACAAATTACCATCAAAATGTACTCCTTCAATGCATAATGCAAAAACCGAAGGACTTTTTACAACAGGCAGAAATTGCATTTTATGGCTGCTGTGAAAAGGGGTTGAGTTTCTCTTTGCGCAAGTTATTTTGCAGTTCACACTAGAGATGTGCGTTCTGACAAATATTCATATTTGAGTATCCGTAAGATTTAATGAACTGATATACGGTTAACCTAAGACGTGTGCAAAATACTCCTTGGTATTCAGGGGGTCCCGTGATGGCTGATACTCCAGCATTGGCTAGCTGCTAACTCACTCGCCATAGCACTTATGCTAGCTTCAATGGCAACAAAATGTTTAGTTTAACAGTTCTTTTTTGGTAGTGCTCTTTTTTAGATCTATCCGTCTCCTCTTTTGTCTGCAGTTTGAGAAACGAGTAAACTTTCACTCTTCCCACCAGTCTCTTGGGAAATTGGGTTTTGCAGAGGTATAGTTACCGGGCATGGTTACAGTTGTAGGCTATGAAGTACCAACTTGGTGAACCAGTTTGCTACAGCACCACCCTGAGGCAGACCACTGCTGCATCTTTAGTTAGTTAAGAATATTAAAGACACAAGTTTACCGATTGTGGATGACGCAGGCTGAACAGTGACCTTTCCTTGAATCTGTATTTAAGCATCTATTTTACTGTAATGGGCAGCATGATATAAGTTTATTATGCCCCCCCCCAGAATTTTGATTTTGAGACATTCTTGGGGTCCAAGAGGTTAATTATAAGGTTACAGACCTCCCAGAACCCCCTGTATTTCACACCTTGACCTTAAAGCAAAAAAATGGATTTTGGCTGAAATCTATGTAGAGTCGTGGCTTTTAGGTGACAGCACTGGTTGCACAAAAACTTGACATCACACTAAGGAATACCTTTCAAAACATGTTTTATTAATGAAAAATAACCAGTGGAGATTGGTAGCTAAATCTACACCTAAGCAGTAGCACTGGAGACTTGGTGTCTTCTACAGGTTAGGTGTGCACGATAAATTGTATTTTACGTGTAGTTTCCGTGGTAAACACGTCATTAAAAGCTGCAATGACAGAATCACATCACATCATTGCTGGTACAAACCGTTAGAAGCCCAGTGAATGTGGGGGGATGAGTACCTTAATCCTCCTATTTTGTTCTGGGTCAAAATTGACCCTTTTCGGGTTTCAATGTCTCTAAAATGTCATTACACTTTATATTTTTTTCATAAACGAGATTACTTTGTTTAGCAGTGATGATATGAACATGTAAAAATGAAGACCAATTTGATGTTTTTACAAAGTCTGTACACCATTTGGGTACAGAGATACTGTTCAGGGTCACAAACAGATGAAGTTTATTACAATTTGTAAGATTTTACACACACACACACCACACACACACCGAGTTCATTTCTCCTTTTGTGTGTGCAGTGTTTCTCTTTCACACACACTGACACAAAACCGAATATTTCGTGGAAAAGTAAAATCCAGACCTATCTGGGGTGATACAGAGTGCAGATCATGTTTATGATAATAACCTGTAAGATTTTGCGCACAGACACACATACAACATGCTCTCATACACACTCTCTCTTTCACTCTCACTCTGTCTGTCTATCTCTTTCTCTCTCACGCACACACACTCACACACACACTTCTCATGTTTGCCTTTCATGCAAGTGTACTCAAACACACACAGACACGCGCACACTGTCCATAGAACTTAAATAATTCTTGCTGAAAAATAAAATCCAGACCTAGCAGGGGAGGGGTGAAACAAGGGTCCTCTGCAGGACAGAGCCCACATTTTTCTCTGCGTATTTCAGTGTGCTGCAGGTTCACAGCCTATGAAATCATTGGTCAAGAAGATGGCCATGATTTACGAGGTGCTGATAGTGAAATAGATAAAGAGGCATCTGAGGCAGAAGACAATGCTGAATTCAGTTCAGAGCATGAGGAAATATCTTTAGATGAGGAAACTGATGTGCAGCAAAATGCTGAAAGAGAGGAGTTCATGTAAAAAAATGCCTAAATAGCATAGTTCTCACCCCCCTCTGAAACTTGGGGTGGAATGGCACCTTAAGGTATAATCAGATTGACCCCAGGGCCCAAAAGATCTTCAGGAAAAATAAGTGAAACTTTTTTGGTTTCATTTGTAACATAAGAGTCAGTTTTGACCTGGAAGTTGTGAAACCCATAAAATGCTCTAACAAGGTAATTATCAACAGTAAAATACAATAAAATAAGTTGAAGTTGTTGATGGGTAAGTAGTTGGCAAGTAAGGTCAAATGAATTATGGCTAGATGACCAATTACAAAACACGTGCACAGCTCAAATACGTCTTCATCCTGAACTACAAGCATACCCATAACCAGTATTGTGTTTTAAATGTGTGAGGCAGTAATTGCTACTGTCACAACAAACATTTTTTTAATATCTAAACAAAAATTAAAAACAAAATATCTATTCATTCTTGTGTGTCTATATAAAAATAAACATATTTGTTTGATTTGTAGCCACTATAGCAAAAGCTGTTGAGGTAATGTTGACTGTTTCTCAGCCTTTCAAGTTTCATCTTTTTACAATTCTGTTAAAACAGAAAATTACCATTTCTCTGAATTGTGGTATGCATAAGCGTGTCATCAGGGGGTGTCTATGTCCATCAATAACAAGGTCTTCCCTCTCTCTTTTTCTCTCTCCCTGCAGCTCTGTTCCTCAGCCCCCCTTTTGTTGATGGAGTTCTTGCAGGGCAGCGGTGACTACTGCCACGCCCAACATTGTGACGTCTGAGCTCAGGTGGTTATGTCTGTGTCTGACTGCTGAATGCCCAGAGGACCACCCTTCCTTCCATCTTCACACTAGTCCTACTGACTAAAGACCCGTCCCCACACCAGATGGGTTAGCGAGCATTGAGGCCCAGGGCTATCGGACTGTGCCCCACCTGACTAGCGTCAGCCCATGTGTGAATCTTACGGACTACAGCATCCCAGAGATTCAGGCAACTGTTTGCATTTCTACTGAGAGATAGCAGGAGAGACAGCAACCTCCAGAGGCCTTGCACTGTGAGAGTACAGCTACTGAATCTCTGTTGGTGAGGCGGATAGTGTAGAAATAGTCGTAGTTTATTTACCTGGACGACACTGGCCCAGCCCACAGTGTGGCTGGCTCTTGGGCATGGCCAGGATGAATCGCCCGGCCCCTGTTGAGGTCTGCTACAAGAACATGCGCTTCCTGATCACACACAACCCAACCAATGCGACTCTGAGCACCTTCATTGAGGTGAGAAAACTATTCTCTCGTATGACCCCAACGATGTGATCTGCTAGTACATTTGCACATAGAGTACTGTGCAAAAGACAGAGAAACGGCTATTAAGTTATTTGTTTTTCAGCATCAGGGAAAAAAGCAGAAAGCAGACACTGAGGTGTACTTTATTAAGAACACCTCCTTGCATATACACTCATTGTTCAGTTTATTAGCTCCACTCACCGTATGCAGCAGGTACACTTTATAGTTCTACAATTACAGACCGTAGTCCATCTCTTTCTCTGCATAATTTGTTAGCCCCCTTTCACCCTGTTCCTTAACGGTCAGGACCTCCACAGGACCACCACAGAGCAGGTATTATTTGGGTGGTGGATCATTCTCAGCACTGCAGTGACACTGACACGGTGGTGGTGTATTAGTGTGTGTTGCGCTGGTATGAGTGGATCAGACACAGCAGTGCTGCTGGAGTTTTTAAACACCTCAGTATCACTGCTGGTCTGAGAATAGCCCACCAACCACAAATATCCAGCAAACAGTGTCCTGTGACCAGTGGTGAAGGATGATGATGGATGAAGGGTGACTAACAAACTATGCAGCAACACATGAGCTATCATTTCTAATTTTACATCTACAAGGTGGACCAAAAAGGTAGGAGAGTCTAACAGAGTGGACAGTGAGTGTTGTTTCGAACTCCAGCAGCACTGCTGTGTCTGATCCACTTGTACCAGTGCAACACCCATTAACACACCACCACCACATCAATGTAAAAGGATATGCATACAAAGTAAACAGAAAGACTGCAGTCTGCAATTGTAGAACTACAAAGTGCACCTGGAGCTTAAGTGGAGCTGATAAAATAGATGCAGGGAGGTAGGTTTAATGAATTGGTTGGTATATGTTTAACAGAAACTTACACAGAAGTTTCTGCAACTACATATATTTAATAATAGTAAAATACATTTTCTTCCTATTTTCCGTGGTTGTTAGGAGTCCGTTTTCTCTATATATTTTATATATTTTTTGAACTCCAGCCTTTTCTTGATACATTCCCCTTTCTAATGCAAGTGGATTATCTTATATCTAATCTCCTCAGAATTTTTTTCCTGAAAAATGAATAACTTGCACAACTGGCAGTATAGCTGCCCATTTTCTCACTGATAGAGCAGAGAAAGTTCTTTTAGAGAATATTTAGGAATTTAACCTAGTGATCTGCAATATATGTATGAAGTGTTGTTTTTGTAGGATTTGAAGAAATACGGCGCAACTACAGTGGTGCGAGTGTGTGAAATCACCTATGACAAGACCCCACTGGAGAAGGATGGAATCACTGTCATGGTGAGTGTTCTGTTATCAGTCACCTCCAACAAATACTTGCTGCACCCAGGAGTTTAGCTTTGAACTCATTAGCTGTAGAGTATTGTAGTTGGTTATTGTCATTTCAGTGTTATTAACCCATTTGGAATTGCACACATTTTCCCCCTGTAAGTTCAGAATAAACTGAACTGAGCTTTTGTTAGTTAGATAAATGGGAACGTTTAATTTTCGGTTTGCTCTCATTAGAGACTTTGAGTTTGTGATTTTAAGTGGAGATGTTAAGCATAGTTATCATAACATACCCACACTCCCACACTCGAGACTGGAATAGTCCTTGATATTTTTGACTCCGTGTGGTAGCTGTTCAGAAAGGACATTCACCACCAACATCAGAATCAATCAATCTCTATCTCTCTCTCTCTTTTCTTAATATGTCACTGTTTCTTTTTTCTCTTCTTTGTCCCTCTTCTTTCTTTCTTTCTTTCTTTCTTTCTTCTCTCTCTCTCTCACTCTGTCTCTCTCTCACTCTGTCTCTCTCTCTCTCTCTCTCTCTCTCTCTCTCTCTCTCTCTGTCTCTCTCTCTGTCTCTGTCTCTCTCTCTGTCTCTCTCTCTCTCTCTCTCTCTCTCTCTCTCTCTCTCTCTCTCTGTCTCTCTCTCTGTCTCTGTCTCTCTCTCTCTCTCCCTCTGTCTCTCCCTGCCCCCCTCCCACTTAGCTGAGAATTCCCTGACTGCTGTTTAACTTGATTCTGGATGGATTTTCTGAGTTTGGCTGTATCCCAGGCTTTACTGTAACCCTTGTTTAAAGAAAAAAAAAGAAAAAAGCACATATGAGACACACAACACAGCAGACAGTTATGTAATACAGCCTCCTCCTCAGAGCCATTAGGGGGACACTAAATCTAGAGAGAACTCTTTGTAGGGACCCTGAAAAACCTTTTCCTATTAAGGACTATCTGTGCTTCAAGAAACGCTGGACAAAAACATTTAGGCAACATTGGTCTGGAGCTTCTTTAACGTTTCTGTAGTCATAGTCTTGTTAAATGCTATATTAGCCAAGACATCAACAGAAAAAAAGGCTTTTATTACAAAGGACACTTTGTGTCATCTGTAGAGCTTCACTACATCAAATGATTGTGTAGCTTTGGTCCAGAGCATTCACTACGTGCTGGAGTCTTTCTTTTATCAGCAGAAAGTGTCATGCAAGTGGTCTTGATAAAAGACTTCATGTCTCTATCAGTCATTAGTATAAAACACTGATGAGCTTTCTGGCTCTTAGAGGTAAAGAGCTCACAGCTTTGTAGAGGAAAACAAACCTGCTAGAAATGCTTGGGATTTCGTCCTAATTTTGGTGGACTCCAGATGCATTGCATGCATCATTGTGCTCACTGTTAAACTGGAACAGAGCTTCAATGTTTTGCAGTCGTGCCTGAACTGTTAGCTGGAATGAGAGGTGTTAGCATACTGACTGTGTCGGTTCAACAAGAGGTATAGTGTTCTCAGAATAGCTCTCTGATCTGTGGATTTGTGTCTGATGCGCTGCCAACTGCTATTTGCAGGCAGGTACTGGAGACTAGGAAACACTACAGCAAACTTCAGTAAATAGTGTGTTGCCAGGAAAGATATGCTGAAGTTTATCTCTCTGTGTGAAGACAAAAATAGTTATAGACCATTAATGATGAAGAGTGAAAGTGCAGTGGACATGGAAACACACTGTGGTTTCTCAGCCCTCCCACCCTCAGTAAGTTATATTCTAATTATTACTACAGCTATGACATGGACTTGGAATTAACATCTCGCTATCCGATCACATCCTGCAGTCATTGCATTCCTCTCAGTTCAAGTTAAAAAAAAAAAATGAATGTAAGGGGACGTGCGACTGTGAGGCTCTGAGTGTTTGAAAATGGAAGCGTTTGTTGATGGGAAACAGGTGCCTAAGACTTCGCCCTCTCTCGTAACAGGAGAGTCAAGTTGCTGGAGAAATAGCAGGTATGCGATTCAGGGAAAATGCCAAGGCGTTTGCCACAATTAGCCTGCAGGGTTGGGAGTGGAGACAGGACTGCTTTCCTGGAGCGTACAGTGCTCACAACTTGGCCTCTTGGAATTAAAAGCTTGCACTGGACAGATGAGGGGAGGGGGATGTTAACCTCTTACCGGATTTGACTGGATTTGACTGTTATATTTAACCCAAGATCAGAGTAGGTAGTATCTGGTAATTGGTTACATTGACTCGTTTACATGTACCCATGTATCATTCATAAGAAATTGTATTTTGAACCAGAAATCTTAAACATAAAAGCTGTCTGGCTAAAAATGATAACAGAAGTAAAAGTGATGTACTGCTGGAAGATATAGATCTGGGGTGACGGGGAAAGTTAACTTGCCATGCTTTTGGAAGCATCACTGTAGAAAAAAATGGGGGTTTTATTAGGGATGATACACAAAATTCAAAGTTCTGTATGACACAGTGGTGTCCCTATATGATGCGTTTTTTGGTGAAGCAGTAATACGCAGTGCCTGAATATGTCTCTTGTGTTTAAATGTCAATGTTAATATTTTAATGTTTCCACCCTGCACATAGCAGACATGCATGTGCGCACAAACACAGACACACAGCATAAACAAACACATATCTGTCTTTAAATACCTCTTTGTGAATAACTGTAATATGTGTGTCAAAGGTTGTGCCACTAAATATGTAATGTTTTAAAGCTTCACATTCTCTTGTAAGCCAATTTTTAAAGTGCAAAATACATTGTATGTTCAGATTGTTTTCGGGTTTTCTTTTTAACCCTCCTGTTATAACTATTAGCTATATTTAATACTGGGACAGTGCTGCTCCTCAGTGCCAACATCCATTGTAATGGATGTCCAAAATGACTATTGAACAGTCCTTCTGAACAGTTACAAACATTTGATTGATCATCATTTGTAGTTATATTTAAAATGGGAACAGAGCATGATCACATTTTTGGTGTCCCTTGAATTTGGGGTATTTTTAGGTTAACTCATTTAATTTAGGTTAACTAGTTTAATCATCTCAAAAGAGTACCAAAACAGATGTAATATGCCAGCTACAAGCAACGTGCTAGCTAATATACTACAAGGAGTTTGCTTTTTCCCCTGTATTTGACACAAAGTAAAAGCAGCTTTTTCAGAGGAAGGATGGTTAACATGCTTTAATTTTTTTAACAGCTCATGCAATATAAGCACTATGATGTTCTGTTGCTCTTGCATTCAGGCAACAACCCAGCAGGTCTCCTTGCAATGACACCGAAGTGCATTTGTTTTGTAAAGAAATATATACTGTATGTAGACTTATTATAATGGATTTTGCAATAATTATTGAGCTCAGAACTACCTCACAGATCTGAGAATGATTGATTTCCCTGTTCGTTTTGCCTGTGAAGTATTGCTTTTTTAGCCGTGGGGATTTTCAGTTTGTGCTGAACACTATGGTGTCCTTGTTCCTACTGGTGCTGAAGTGTGAGAGGCAGTGGGATGGTTCAGTACATGAACGGAGAGTTCAGTACATACTGTGTTTGCAATGGCAGAGCTTGTGAGAATCACACTGGAGTCATCAAAGACTTTTCACTGGTTGGTGTGATTCAGCTTCAGTAGAGAGACTGCTCAGTTAGATAGTGCCCACGTCTGCAGATAACATGTTCCCACAGAACAGGCTGTGACCGTGGATAACGATGGACTTATCTCTCCTTGCTTTGGGCATGCCCTTAGGGATGTGCACAGGTAATCAAATAATTGGCTAACAATTCCACTATTGGAAAATTGCTATTCAGATATTCATTACATGATTTCATGAAGTGTCATAAAGAAAGGTCACATCTAGCAGAAAGCAGCACTACCCTGGTGTGTAAGTTATGCATTATTAATAATTTAATAGACTAACATACCAGATTAGAGTGTTGGTGTATGATGAGTAAGAACTAAATGTGGCCTGAAACAAGGTTATGTTGACGTTCACTAAAGCTTTAGTAGAACGTTCATTTTTTCAGTTATTCCTGTATATTACTTACCTGGACCAGTGAGTGGAGGAAAGTTTAATTACAGCGGGAAAATAATTTTGTGGTACACTGATCCACATTGGCTTTTTTCCTTCCAAGTGAAAACCAAAAATTTTAGTTCAGAAGTTGTAAGTACAACATATGTTTTCAGGTGGTTTTGGTTGAAAACAAAATGGACAGCCTAAAAAAAAATATTTTTGGTTTTCTTTTGTTTCTCTGCCACCAAAGAAAGTAAGCTACTTTGCACAACTAGAACAAAATGAAGAGCTGAGGATGCTTAATGTTTATTTATCCTGGTAGAAACCCTGAATTGCATAGCGTATGTTCATATCCCAGCCATTTTGCGTGCGGATGAGAGTAAAAAGGCTTTTGCCTGCATGCTCACGTGTGTCTGCTGAATAACTGAAATACAACCAGTTTACAAAACTAGTATCAGCGGGCGACAATACTATTTTACTTCAACTCAAAAAGTCGGGGCTTATGGAAAAGTTTCCTATTAGTTTTTTCTTTAACGCTCACATTTAGTTAAGCATCAAAATTACTCAGATCACATGTCCCTGATGCCCTTCCCTCATACTGCCTAATTCATGTCGCTTGCCCAGATTCTGTTTATCTTATGATCTATTTGACGTGCTGATGTACATACATTCATATTCAGATAATACAGCTGCCAAACCCATGTAATTATTGATATTTGAGTAACAGTATCCCCTGTTTTTTGCTCTCTGTTTTTCTTGCACCGCAGGACTGGCCGTTTGATGATGGAGCCCCTCCACCCACTAAGATTGTGGAGGACTGGCTTTCTCTCCTGAAGAATAAGTTTTGTGAGGATCCAGGCAGCTGTGTAGCTGTTCACTGTGTGGCAGGACTGGGACGGTGAGTGAAACCAGCGGAGCAGATCTTTCTTTGTATGGAAGAATTTACAAGCCACCCTGACCAGCGCAGCAAACCAGAACATTCTGAAGCTGACTTGAGACAAAATTAAGCCCTATCTTATGAAAGAAAGAATGTTCTGAAACACATAATCACAAACAACAACATTGGTTTGATGCATTGTGGGTAGGTATACAACTCAAGCTTTAAATCTCTTCCTGTGACTCAAATAGAGTACCAGCCACATTTATTTTAAATAGTATATTCACAATGAGAAATGAGAGAGTGTACTGTTTATGGCCAGAAGACATACTAGAACCACTGAAAAATTGTTGTGCACTGTTTGTACTCAGTGGTTGCAGTCTGTCATATGTACCAGAAGAGGTGGAGCCATCAGGAAGCCTCCAAAATGTGTAATTGTAAATATGAGTTAGATGTATGTCCCTTACACGCTGCAAAGAATTTCAAAATGTTGTAATATTGTGATTTGTTGTAATGCTAAAGTTATGATACAGCTATCTTTAGCTTGCTAATGTTAGCTAACTGCTAACCCAGGTGCAATTCAGTGTCAAGAGATACTAATAAGTTCAGTGTAGTGCAATACATTTGTTTGATCTCAGATGATACTTTCTTACAAAAATCCAGTCTCTAAAGAGTGAAGTACATAGTGTACAACAGAGCTTGAAATATATAGTTGGGTTTGGACATAATTTTTCAAATGTGTCCGGCTCAGGTCAGGTTCAGATTTCACGTTTATGTTCCCTCAGCACGCCTCCCACTTTAAACAGACTTTATCCTGCTTTCCCACTGCTTTAGTTCTTCTCCTTACTTCACTCTTCATTACTTTCACTACCTTAAAGCATTTTTTGGAGTCACCCACTCAGCACCAAGGTCCACCAGGCCCACACTCATAAGAAAACGTATAAACAGTAAACCGATTCAGGAAAGTAGTGTTTAGTGCAGTCAAATATATCTGCGTTCTAATGATGACTGTTATTACTAACACTAACCGGCAATATCCTGAAATGTTTTTTTCTGTGATGGATGAGATTTGGACAGAATTTAGTTATACCCTGGAAAATTCCAGACTCAAAACATGATGTGGTTCAGGTCAGGCTTGGACAGATTTGTGTCTCGCTCTGGTCAGGTTTGGACTCAAAACGTGATGCTATGTGTCAGGTCAGGTTGGGCTCAGGCAGAAAATTTAGGTTCTGAACAAAATTTAAGTCCTGAGTAAAGCTCTAGTGTATAGTGTGAAAATGTAGTGCTTAGTGCCTGAATTGAGACACAGGGTTTCGTTCTGAAATGGGTCAAGGCTAGTGGCCACTTGGCCTGCACTTCTATAAGGAGCTATCTTGTGGGAATCCAGAGCTCCATTCCCACTCTGGATGACCGCTATACTGTGACATTTTCTCATCATATACTTTTCAGTTTAACCCCAAATACCCCAGAACAGCAGACCTCAGTCCTGTTCAGTGCCCACCCTGCTCTGAATCAGGTCAGCTTCATTCATTGAGCTTCACTAAACCTTGCCAAAATCAACTGTTTACTGGGGGTCACTTATCCAATATTAACCCCAGTTTATTATTGGAGGCGCAAAGGTTGACGTCCGACGACAAAACAGGAAGTGCTCGATAAGCAGCACTTTTAATTGCCTCCTCTGAATATGTGCTCTGTGAACTTGCAGATACGGGCTATTGTGTGGTCATTGTGTTCTTGCGTGTAACCTGCTTGTGAAAACACACCCAGACAGTAGATAAGTGAGAATGCTTGAATGGTCAAAGCAGACAGCCTCTTGCTCACTGTTGAGTCTTTGCAGGGCTGGAAAGTTAAAGGCAGCTCTACTTGTCACTCGTCCTCTGTCTTCTCTCTCTCTTTCTCCCTTTGGCTGATGAGGCACCAGCCTCTCTGACGTAGTTTGCTGGCCCTGTGGGAGCCCTCTGCCGATCTTGACAGGGAGCCAATGTTTGCTTTACCCGGGCAAGTTTGTTTTGCTATTGATCTTTTGGAGGCCTGCAGGGTTTTGGCTGGTATTCACTGGATACTTCAAAGCTGTTAGAGGTCTGCACCAAATGACAGAAGTAAATTTCTATAAGTGGAATCATTTTATTATTCTAAAATATCTTGAAACTACATTTCCAGGAAAAAAAAAACAAATGCTATAATCACTTGAAAATATAATCATTCTCTACAGCCAGATTTCATCGAGTCATTATATGTGTCAGATTTTAAGCACTTTTGTGACTGTAAGAATTTCTTGTAGAAACAGGTTTAGCAGTGAGAATGAATTCTCTCTTGGCGTGCTACAGTATGTCCACTTACATCATTGCTGGCTGCTGTGTACAAGTGTAGAAAAACTTCTTTTCTCATGCGCTAGGTGGTAGCCTCGCTCTGAGAGGCTGGGCTGAATGAGGAGAAACCCGTTCCCTGGAACTGTTTTGTGCCCCTTTAGCAGGACACGCAGGCTTGTTTGTGCTGCTCTGTTTCCTCTGAATTCGATTGCTTTTCTGTGTTGCAGAGCTCCAGTGCTGGTGGCCCTGGCACTGATAGAGAGTGGAATGAAGTATGAAGATGCCATCCAGTTCATCAGACAGTAAGTGCACGCTAGACACTAAGCAATCCCATACAGAGCATGTAATAATAAAAATAATAATAATAATAATACATACACTTTAATAGTTAAGTTTAACCCTTAAACCACCAGCTTATTATTCAGTTATAAGGCCCATATTATGAACAATCTAATTTTCCTTGCTTTTCTGAAGTAAGGGTTTAATGTTGTATTTAAACATTGTCTAAACATTGTTGTTTTAAAAGGGTATCATTCACTCCTCAGTCTGTACAGTCCATATATAAAAATTAAGCCCCAAAACCTCAGTAAAAACTCAGTAAAGTTGTATTCAAACGTTTGGGTGCCTCTGGTCAGTTGACATGACTTGTTGGTATTGTGAAACATTTCTGACATGAAAATAAGTACACATCCTCTACAGAGAACAAACTTGTGCACAATGTAATGCACAATTACTGTTTAATCACCAAACTTACAGTATTGGGGAAAATAAATCATAAAATGTGGCATGTGCAAATGTTATGACACGTTTTTTTATATTTTTATGTATCAGCAAATGTGCAGTAAAATTTGCAGATAAAAAAATCATATTTAAGTTTGCTGTCTGTAGAGGATGTGTTAAGGATTAAGATATAAGGAGTGTTTCAGCCTGGACTGCATTTTGAATGGAGCACAATACAGTATAGCCAATCAAAGCAGAGGTGTACATGTACATATATCAATCTTAAAAGTACAGTAATAACAGCCTATTTGATTCTAAAGAAAAAAGAAAGATTAGAAAGTAGTCATCTAAAAATTAATTATTAGTACATAAACCTACATGAGCATAATAAGAGATTATCAGGGAACAAAATAAAATACAAGAAAAAATGTAAATTACAGCCCCTTTAGGATAATTCAGTAACTACTGTGAATGATTTAGGCTACTGTGAAACTAATGTGTCTGTTATTTATTTATTTATTAGAGTGAAATACTGAAGCATAAATTTTTTCAGAAACTTCAACAGAAACAAATGATGAGTGGTGGTTTTTAGGGAGAAACTGGAATACTGATTGATTACTTGATTGATTATGTTGTGTTGTGTTTATTAGAAAACGCCGGGGTGCTATCAACAGCAAGCAGCTGACCTACCTAGAGAAATACAGGCCTAAACAGAGACTGCGCTTTAAAGACCCACACAACCACAAGAACAAGTGCTGCCTCATGTGAGCCAATCTCAGCCGGTCTGCCAGTGAAAGAAAGGAATAAATCGTTCGTGGACTAAACAGGACTGAAGCCACAGATCTAATGCATTCAGACTTTTGACCCTTTACTACTTGGAAGGACACTCGACCCCTCCTTAAATCTATGTGAGACCCTGCACTGCGGGGGCTTGATGAGCTCAGGGCTGTGAAAGACGAGCCTCTAGAATTTGTCTTTACACATCTATCCCAAGTGTTCTCATAGATGGTGTAGATGTGCAACAGCAGCAGCATGCACTCCAAAGATGATCAATGCCATCACACTGTTTACCATACCACCATCTTCAGCTCCTTTAGGCAGGGCTAACACGAGTGAATGGAAAATTACTGTTTTTTTTTTTTGTCTATGTTTGTATCTTCTGAAGAATCATGTACAGTTTTAACTACAGCACAGCTTCTCTCTTTCTCTTCTTTCGTCATTGTGTTTTACCAGGCACTGTAGTCCCTCATTCCTGTTCGTGAGAAATGGGGATTGACAGAGAATGATTTCTTTGTGAGAGCTGGAGGCTGATTTTTACTAGAGCTATATTTTTTACATGTGATATAAACTACTCTGGGACTCGAACACTGCACCACTAGCTTGGTCAATGGACTCTATGAGAGTGAGCCGAATAGCTGGTAAGATGCCGCCCCCACTCTGGATAGTTTGCACAGCACACTTTTGCTACGTTTAGATTATAAAAGATTTTCTGCAAGTTGCTTGAAAATCATGTCAAAGCTTTTTCTTCTCGTTGCTTAAGGCTTAAATCATTGCGTTTTTTACTTCGTGAAGTGTGAAAGCAGCGTATTTCATGCGTCTTGTCACCTGTTAGTGGGAAACAAATAAAGCCAGAGAAGTGGAATTGGAAGAAGCGCGTCATTAATCAGGGTGAATCATCACCAAGCTGTGATCCAGGTACTGACACATGGCTCAGGTCCTGGAACATTTGTCATAAAATATTAAATAAATGCATTGTCATTTCTCTGCCTTTTAAATGAAATCCACATCTGATTGTTCACGGTCAATAAATTTAAAGTAATAAAGTAATTTTTTAAAATGTGATTCATTGTGGATTTGTTGTGGTCTGTGCTCATGTGTGGTTGTATTTTTGTATGTAGTGCAGTCTGTAAGTATTTGGACAGTGAGAGGTGCCTTTACTGATTAGAAGTTTAAAATGCAGAACATCATATTAAATTGGAGTTTTTTATGTCTGTATTAGGTGAACCATATAGCTGTTTTTATCTACAAGCTTTTATGTACTCTCTAACAAATTGTGCAACTATCTAATGGGTAATATTCACATTGGTTTGCTTAATTTGGAGAACCATCAGGATGGTTTCTATTTATTAGAAAAACCAAGAACCTCCCAGCATGTGTCGCAGCCAAAAGCCAGAACAAGGATTCAAAATCATATTGTAGCCATGCATTGCGGTCTCTGGGACTGGGTCATGGTGATGGAAGTAAAGACAGCTGTAAGACTAGAATGTCAGATGTGTTATATGTGGCACTTAGCTACACCAGGATAATGATACACTAGCACAGCAACTAAGGAGTTAATCAGTGGAAACAGTACATTTTAGACTTGCCAGGTCAGCCTCCCTGTGTATATCCAAATGTTTACTTACACTAATTGCACACTAGGTTTAAGGGTGAGGAAATGTCAGGGTAACATCATGTACCCACATCATTTTGGTTCAGTGAATGTCTCAGAGAAATATGTAACTTCTTAAACATATAACTAACTAAAAAATCACGCCCATAATTTATTTCCACCAGAGGAACACAAAGGTTTGGCAAGTTCATTTTGATGAAACTGCAGCTGTCTTTTAGGCACAAATGAAATGTTTAATAGTGCAGTTTAATCTTTCTATATATAATATATACTTAAACAGTATTAAATATAAATATTAGAAATAATCACATCCTAAGATGGACTGACAGGAAGTGGAAAAGTGTCCCGTGGTCTGATGAATCAAAGTTTTAAATTCTTTTTGGAAATCATGAATGTCGCATCCTCTGGCATCCATGAGAGAAGAGGGGCCATCTGGCTTGTTATCAGCACACAGTTTAAAGGCCAGCATTTGTGATGGTTTGGGAGGGACTTGCACATCTGTGAAGGTACCATTTATACTGAATGATATTTTATATACTGAATGAGGTTTTGGAGCAACATATGCTGCCATCCAGATGATGTCTTTTTCAGGGAAGGCCTTGCTTATTTGAGCAATACAATGCCAAACCACATTCTGCACATATTACAGCAGCGTGGCTCCGTAGTAAAAGAGTCCGGGAGCTAAACTGGTCTGTTGGCAGTCTAGACGTGTCACTCATTGAAAACATTATTATGAAAAACAGTATTATGAAACGTAAAAAAACAACAAAGGGGACCCTGAACTGTTGGACAGCTGAAATCCTATATCAAGCAAGAACAGGAAAACATTTCACTTTGAAAACTACAGCAATTTGTCTCTTCAGTTTCACTTACAGAGTGTTGTTAAAAGAAGAGGTGATGAAACACAGTGGTAAACATGCCCCTATCCCAACTTTTTTGAAACGTGTTGATGGCATCAAATTCAAAGTGGGCATATATTACATTTCTCAGTTTCATCATTTGATTGTCTTTTACCATATTGGCAAAAAATACAAAAAATAAAATATATTTAATGTTTTTTTTTTCTATTATGCTAAATACAGCATATAAACAGTAATTATATACATATATTCAAAAATGCTGCACATTCGTAACGATGTTGGATATAATGAGTTTTTGAAAAGAACAGCTGACGTATAATTGTGCCTTTTTACTTCTCAAATAAAGGTGGCGTTAATCATAGTATAACATTGATATTTACTGTCAAATCCAAAGCCCTCTTCCCACAACGTGTATCATGAAAAAAGAAGAACATCTTTGAAAGTGGTCTATAGTGCGTTTTTAGATGAAACCCTTTATAAACCTCTGAGAAATGATGACCTGCTGCCGCAGTAAACAAATAAACCCAGCTGTTAATATCGCTCCGGGGTCTTCAGTGCTGTAACAGGTATGTGTGGGGCTCTGGTCAGATCTACAAAGCGCTCTCATTATTCTGTACCGGAAACTTCCCCCTAAAGCCTCTCTGTGTGTGTAGCCCGTTAGCGCTGCTGCTGCTAGTAGGACTAGCGTCGAATTCTACACTCGCTGCCTCCGCCATATTCTCTACTAGGAGACCCTCAGAGGTAATACAACGGCAAAAATATAAACCTAGCGACTCGAAAAAACATCCCTATCCCCCTTCTTAACGTATACACAGTCTCTCGATGTGTTACATGTCGACTGTTCAAATCTGCGGTCTTCGCATGAGCTTGAAGCTCTGATAATTTATTGGTGGCTCAGTTCTCCAGCTAGCTTAGCTTCAGTAGCCTGAGCGGTTAGCCATAGCCTGCTCGCTGCTGTCCCTCTAACCTTAGCTGGCTGAGCAGTATAGTCTCTCGGTTCGCACATCGATTTGATGATATAAGGTAAAGGCGTTTATTTAATTTCAAGTTTTTTCAGAGACTAGTGCAGCCTCTATACACGATTATTTTTAATGTACTCCAGGTTATGTGCTTGTTTGCTCGCCCTCCTCTAGTTATCCGCCCGGCTTTGATGTGGCGCGCTAGAGATAACTAACCCAGCTAGCTTAGGTTAGCTTACTACATATTACTTTCAGTTTTATACAGAGCACGCTGATACGAACTGCTTTATTTGCTCGCCTTTATTTACAGGTAAAGCAGCACATTTGTAGTGTAAAGCTGGCGTTGCGATTGATTGGTATCACTCTATCCTATATGCTTAAGGCGTGGCAAACGTTAAGTCTCACGTAGGAGAGCTGTTGTTAGCTAACCTAGCTAGCTGGCGGTCTCCAGTGTAGTTAGCTATAATCTAATAGCACACATAGCTAGTGCTCACGTATTCATGTGAATGGTCACATGCTGTAGTTGGGTTTTCGTAATGCAATTTGATGATTATGTAAGTTAGCTAGAGGGATAACTCGGGACCTGGTGTGACTCGTGAAATTTCAATGGGAGTGAAGCTAGTTCGCTAGCCCAGCTAGCTGGTTAGCTACACTGCACTGCTAGGCCCGTGTGAACAGCATCGGTCAGTTCACTAAATAGCTACATGTTAACGAGGGTATGAAATCAGTTTGATCCCTTACTGAAGGCTGTGTTCTGCCAACGAGGACGTGCCGTAGCCCTGTTGGACTAAACCTAATGTATGGCTCTAATAAATAGGTTACAGATCAGAGGTAACTAACAGTTAATGTTCTGTCCTTCTTTACACTAAATTTAATATTCTATGTTGAGGTAGGTGCAGTTTGTGTATAAGAGCAATACGGAATACGCAGGTTGGTGAAGTCATTATCCTGGAATTTGTGAGATAGTTAGGCAGGAGAGTTCTATTTAAGTCCTGCTTCACATATCAAGTTTGTTGCTCACTTAACATTTTGATTTTGTGCAGGGCCTTTCAGTGTCCAGAAAGCCTTGAGGAATGACGTTTCTGACTGCTGTACCTCCTGAATAAACTGCTGGATGTCCTCTCATAGCAGCTACAATCAGGTGGGCTGACCACCCATGATGGCTGATTTCTATTAAATTCACATGGTGTACTGTAGACTAAAGAATGTGACCTTGTAGAGTCGTAGGTGATCAAGCTCAACGCAGCGAGTATCTCAAAACCTTTCTTTAGAAACAAAAATTACACGCTGCTAATATCAAAATGTGCTGAAATGTTCTTCTCAGTAGCTGTTGATAAAAGTTTTTTTTTTAAATGCAGCTTGTTTCCCTTGCAGCCTATGCTCCTCCATAAAGCCATCGCATCTGCTTTCATCAACGCCACCTCTCATCTACTGCTTGGAGGAAACCTCCAAGGTAATAATGGAACAAAAGTTTTTAAATCGTGTGTTTATGTATCTGTTTGTTTAATGCATTTTGGCACAAGTAAAATGTGAAGAAAGTGTGATACCTGCTGAATACCAGAGTATCAAAAAAATGTAATGTTGTAGTCTGCAGCTAAAGGAAATCTGTTCTGCATCAGTTCCTTTTCCTGTTTCCTAGGTGCTCCTGGGAATATCCTGTGTAGAATATGTCCGGTCCTGTCTCAAGCCGTTCTCGAGTTTACCCTGATGTAAACACACAGAGACCCAGAGAGTACTGGGACTATGAGTCCCATGTCGTTGAGTGGGGGTGAGTATCCGCATTTCATGCATGCTAAGACAGGCTGATGATTAAATGCTGTATGGTTTGAAGTGTCCTACTGATGTAGATCTGCTTAAACGTCTCTAAAGGTATTTTAATTATAATGAGTAGATCCTGTTTCCTCGTCACTACAGAATGAATTGTTAACACAAAGCTGCTGAAGCTGTGGCGTATTGTTCTACCTGTGTATCTTATCCTTCAGTTCTCTGTCAGACATTTATAGATAACTATTGTGTCCCTTCTTTGGTATAATTCAAGGTGCCCAGTACTTAGATGCTGGATGTTTTGGAGTGGTGCTGTTAAATTTATGCTTTTGTCTGGTGTGTTTGTGCTACAGCAATCAAGATGATTACCAGCTTGTGCGAAAGCTGGGACGGGGGAAATACAGTGAAGTGTTTGAAGCCATAAACATCACAAACAATGAGAAAGTTGTGGTCAAAATACTAAAGGTACTGTCAGTGTGTTTCTGTGTGTGAGAGTAAAAGTTTTCCTTAAAAATAAGCTTTTAAAGAAGTGACGAAGTAGCTCTTGTTACTTGGTGGTAAACTTGTCTCATTATACTTGAACATGTGTGTTTTTTTTTATCAATAGCCTGTGAAAAAGAAGAAAATCAAGCGAGAAATCAAAATTCTGGAGAACTTGAGAGGAGGCCCCAATATTATAACGCTTTTAGACATTGTCAAGGATCCTGTGGTGAGTTTTTTGTGTGCTTGTTTGTTTTATTTTGTCCTCTGTATGGTTTACTTCTTTATTAGCAGATCACACATAACAATTAATCAGTGAATTGGCTGTACACTGTGTTAAGCCTTGTGTTTACAGTATTACATGAGTAAAATTGAACACAGCATGAGTTTGAGAGGATAGCGATTAGTTTCTTTGTTGAAAAGTGCATGATGTTAAAATCCATCTAATCTGTATTTCCCTGTAGTCACGAACGCCTGCATTGGTTTTTGAGCATGTTAACAACACAGACTTCAAGGTAAGACGACAGTTGGTGTATTTGCTACTTTTAATTAATACTCTTTAAATCAGGGCTGTCCAAAACTGTGACCTGTAGGCCAGGCTATGTGTGGCAGACGTTTCTGTTCCTATCTCAAAGCGTTCTATAATCACTCCACTCCTCACTCGCACACCAGAGAAACCTGCTCCATAGGACTCATTCTTATGATATTGATTTCATGTAATGAACCTATGGACAAGACACTATGCAATTTATATAATGAATTTCTGTCCGTTATTAATCGAAAAATTGGTTGAAAATGTTGACAGTCTCAAGTAAGAAATCTGCCAATGGTAAACAAATGCCCATGTTTTTTACACAATCTTCATCATTTCGCATTGCAAACTGGATGAAGCAAGACTAATTTTGTGGAACATACGTAGAACTGTTGCAGTCAATGAGAATTTTCAGGATGTAGGTCTGCTGAACAGTTCTGCAGCGCAGATGATGTATATGAATGGCCGTCATGTGCGAGCTTTAGCGGTCACACTGCCGCATCACGTATCATGTAAAGGTAGTCAATGTGGACTACCACTGGATGGCTTGTGGGATAGAGCGATATGAGAGAGAGAGAACACACAGACACACCCCAACTGTCTTAAAAGGCGTTCTGTGCTCTAAGCAAAATCACACCGCTCTGCTCCCTCCTCACCCAATGAGAGAACAAAAATATTTTTATACTTTAAAACACAACTTATTACGTTATAACATGTTACTTCTTAAGTATTTTAGTAATACCCCCCACACACACAAAAAAACCCAAAAGGTTTGGACACCCTTCATTTGGATATTTGCCTAGATGATGGTGATGATATTGTTATTTGGTCAGTGCTTCCTCAGGTAGCTGGTATTTTCCCATCTCCAGCTGTTGAATGTATACTTTGTGGGAAGTGTGTACTAGCTTGATTGTGTTGTTTCTGGTTACAGTCTTGATTCTCATTGTCTGTCTCACAATGCAGGATTTATGGCTTAGCTAACTAACTTTAGGCTTATTTTGTTCTAACACTGGATTTTCTTTCTCACAGTGGTGGATCACTATTTACCAGGCTCCACCACCACAGCAGCTTTTGCTGCATGATTAACCTGCTCAGGTGTAGGTTAAGGGGGAATCTGATATACATCATTTTTAGCAGAGTAAACACAGATATTAGAAATATAAAACAATATTTACTCCAGTTAGCACTAATATTGTGGCAGTGATAACAACTTTTTTTTTTTTAAAACAAAAACATATGTTTCACACGATTGGCTTTTTGTTATGTCACGCTTTCATTTGCACAAAGGTTAATCACAGTTTGTGTTAACAGAGAAAGTTGTTAACTGCTGCAGCTCAAGCTCATTCTGTATTCAGCTGTTGAGTCATGTTGAATTTGTTTTTGTCTTTCACAGCAATTGTATCAAACATTATCGGATTATGACATTCGCTTCTACATGTATGAAATTCTGAAGGTAAGATTGCCTGTTGTAACTGTTCTGTCATCTCCAGAATAACTTTTCAGGACAACAAGAATAAGAATGAGACAATTAAGTGAAGGTGTAAGATTTTCTGAGGACATTAGGAAAATGGAACCTGACCTGAGCTCTGCTGTTCTGCTTAATTGAAGCCCCCTGCTAACTTCATGTTTCTTTATTTTCACTAGGCTCTAGACTACTGTCACAGCATGGGCATTATGCACAGGGATGTCAAACCACACAATGTCATGATTGATCATGAGCACAGAAAGGTAGGTCAGCCTATGAAAATGAGATCTTCATCTTTGTTTATAACATTCCTCAGTTTTCTTCTTTGGTCAAAATTTAGTTATTACAATTTGACATTTTACTGATAAAGATATTCGATAAATGGAGAGGAATAGTGATTACAGTATTAAAGTTTTGTTGTAATTAGACTAAAAGATGAATCAGAATGAATCTTGAGTTAATACTTTAAGAATTGACCTCCCACCCCACCCTCGTAAAGCTTCGTCTGATAGACTGGGGCTTGGCAGAGTTCTACCACCCAAACCAGGAGTACAATGTGCGAGTCGCTTCCAGGTACTTCAAAGGCCCGGAACTGCTGGTGGACTACCAGGTGAGAACAGTTTCTATGCATGTATTTGAGTTTTTAGATATCTGAATGAATTTTTTTTCCCTCCCTCAAGGTCAGAACTATGTAATCGTTCACAGAATTCTTTTTTGTGTTTTATTGCTGTTTTTGTTGCATTTTTAGATGTATGACTACAGTTTGGACATGTGGAGTTTGGGTTGCATGCTGGCCAGTATGATCTTCAGGAAGGAACCATTTTTCCATGGACATGACAATTACGACCAGGTAGTGTCTGGTTGTATAGGAAAAAAAAAAAAAACACTGTGGGAAGGGGGTTGGTCTACACATTTTTCATGATTACTGTTGCTGTACATGTTGATTGAACTAATTCTGTATGATTTTGTTTTACTGTTGTTGCTATGTACAGGGACTAGTTTTGTATCCTGCTGATCATATCTTATTTACTCTTATACAGCTTGTACGAATCGCCAAAGTCCTGGGCACAGAAGACTTATATGACTATATTGATAAATACAACATTGAACTGGACCCACGTTTCAATGACATTTTGGGCAGGTGAGAATTGCCTGAGCTTGAATTGTATGTTTTTATGTTTCTAGGTATTATACATATGTTTGTGTGCAGGTGCTTTTGGTTTTAATGTTGATTTTGAGCGGGTACTATTTCAGTGATTTATATGGAGTATTATGTGTGTTCTGTGATCAGGCACTCACGTAAGAGATGGGAGCGTTTTGTGCACAGTGAAAACCAGCACCTAGTGAGCACTGAGGCTCTGGACTTCCTAGACAAGCTGCTACGTTATGACCACCAGGCTCGCCTCACTGCCCGCGAGGCCATGGATCACCCCTACTTCTGTAAGCTAACAGACTCTCGTCCTCAGACAGTTAACAGCTAGTGAACAGTTGCAATGACTGATCAAAAAAGAAGCTGTTGTTTTGTGTCAATAATGTCCCATTTATTTAGATTGGTTGTGCTTAGAGAAGCCATATCAAAATGCTGAGCACTCTAATATAAGTAGGTTCTGGGCAGTGTTAATTGTGTGCTGTGGAATATGCAAAGGCTTTGACTTACCTTGGTGTAATAAATGCTTAATTTGAAAGCATGTTGGAGCGTTTTTGTTTTTCTAAATTTGTGTTTTTTATTAAGCTTTCTGGGAGTGCAGCTAAAACATTTTATAGTATGTTTACCATTTCCTTCAAATGTAAATTCTTGGTTGCTTCCTGTTTACAGACTAGGCTTCCCGGTCTGCCTGTGGGCTTCTAAATGTCATCATTCTGTTGTCTTATTAAGTGATTCATGGCCTGATGTACATGTAAAATTAGTTTTCAGACAGTGAAAAATAAAATTATTCTAAGGTACACATATTACACGTGGGATATTAAATGTAGGATTCTCAGTATCATGCAAGTCCATTGTTACTTTGGATTCCCGATGTGTTCTCCAGGGAAATTTTTCTCACCGTCTAGAGCAGGGGTTGGCTACCCAAATGTTAAGAAGAGTCTTTTTGTCCTTTCAACAAAAATCAAACCACTTTGGGGAGCCACAAAATTTCATATCCATTTTACCATCTTTGCTGTAAATATGTCTCAGTATGTGCTAAGGTACTAGTATATACTAAAAAATATGATATGAACGAAAACGCAGACATACTTTGTTCTGCTTTAAGGTTTAGCACAGCCTGTTGTCTCGCATCTCCGACAGGAAACAAAAGTGGAATAGTTTGTTGTAGAATGTCTCTCAATGTTTGACTTTTTACGAGGCTGAAGTCAGCTTCTCATTCGCCAACTTCTGCACCATTTAAGGTGGAACGGGAGAATTCAAACAAGAAGCTGTCGAATGAGAATCTGGCTTTAGCTTCGCGACTTTTTAGTGTTTTGACAGTTTCTCGCTGCAGATTAAACATATGAGTAAACCAGCTGGAGTGATTATAAACCCACATAAGTCCATCCGTCATTAAATTATCGATGTCTGTTTTAAATCTGTCTCTTTGACTTATCGTTAGCTCAGAGATTGGCAACATGCATCTCTTTTACGGCCATTTTGCGGCTCCACAGCGGAATTAGATTTTTAGGTAAAAATGAAATAATCCTCCTTTGCAGTAAAATAAAGCTCTGCTGATCGTTCTAACACACTTTAACAATAAATGGTTTTAAACGCTGGAGTTAATGTAGCCCACAACTGCTAATTCACCCTTTTAACCCTGAAGGTACAACAATCCCGCCTTCCTAGTAGCTAACGAAACGGCAAAGAGAAAGATTTAAGACGGACATTGATAACTTGGAGACAAACTGACTTATTTACTTTTATAAGCACTCAGAAAAAAAAACTGTACTAAAAAGTCAGGAAGCTGAAGAAGCTGGCCAACGAGAAGCTGACTTTTTCAAATTCTCCTTTTCCACCTTAAATGGTGCAGCAGTTACACTCAGGCACCATTTAAGGTGGAACAGAGTTCAACAGAAAAGTTTCTTGCCTGAGATGCAAGAAAAGCGGCTATAGCTGAGCTGAAGCTTAAAGCAGAGCTTAAAGTCTGCGTTTTCGTTAATACATATTAGTAGAATCTGATCTGGAAAACTACACGCTGTTCTGTTAACTTGGTGAGTTTGAGACCAGTATAACTCCAGTGATGAAGTAAATAAATGATTGAGGCAGTAAGCGTGGATAAATATAGCTGTATTGTGGAAAAACGTGCAAACATTAGTATGACTGCACACTCGCTTCATAAGTGCTCGAACTCCACAGTTTGTCACTGAGTCTGCAGAACATTCAGCTTCAGCTTGAGACGCTAAATTTGGCCTATGTTGTAACGAATGGAGCGATTTGCAGTGACCCTATCTCAGTTTGCTCAGGTCAATGGCAAACCACCTTCATGCTGGATTGTTGGAGAAATGTCAGATAGGTCATTTCCCCCCAGCATCTTGGCTGACATACTGCAGCATGTTTCATTTGTAACTGTACTTTTAAAGGTATGGGTCCACTATAAGTGCTCAAACAGTTGTTCTAAAATCCAGGGACCATATTAGAGAAGCGTTTAAAGCCTGAAATCTTATCTGTTTATTCACCACGACAACTTTAGGTGGGACTGAATTGAGGACAGAAGCTATTACAGAACAGAATTTCTGTAAAAGCTTATCCTAACTCCAGATAGGAAAACGGCATTACAGAAACATCCGAACTAGACAAAATTTCCTAAATTCTGTCCTAACTTTGACGACTCAAGCGGTGTCTTAACTTCTGATTTAACCGTCTGTTTCTATCGTTTGATGCAGTGACAGGCAGCACAGTTCACTATAACCAGCATAATGACGCTACATTTATCTACACTGAAAACGGTGGTTTGACTTATTTTTTTTTTCTAACAGCGTTTTTAAAAAACCCCAGACACTGCAGACACGATCTCCACCGTCCCCTCTTATTACCTTCGTGTGTTAATGGTGATGAAAACTCAGGTAAAATATTACAGTGATAGTAGTAAACAGTGAGGTGACAGAGCTGAACGTGTGTCTGTTTATTAGGAGGAATAACCGTAGCGCGCTCAGCTAAAGCGTTTGGAAAATGAAACTGAGGAGCGACGACGCTCTGATAAACAGCACGAAGCGCTGCCACAATATTCTTAACTTTCGGTTTATCGCGCTTTACTTTTGTTTGACCTTTTACATCAGTAATGGTAACTAGCTGTCTTGCTAACTTGATTACGTGTTTACGTTTCAGCTGTGCGTGTATGGTCGGTTGCTAGGTTACAGACATGACAGTTGATTGTCGATTTGGATCGAGTCGAGAACATGCTGCCTATAACTTGAGAACATGCTGTAACGTACGATTCCTAAATCAAGATAAATTTTTTCACAAATTATCTCGACCCGTCAGATCTTAAGACAAAAAAAAATACGACCCCAAATTTTATATTTCAGTATTATTACATAGGAGTTTTGACCTTTTGTCATGATACTGTATCATGAGTAGATGACCATGTATTCTTGACCAATCTAACCTTCCACAAAAAAGAGAGTGAATGTTTGTGTCGACCTAAATTGTTGCAGGAATATTATACTTTGAGTGGTACATCTCTTTGCAGATCCTATTGTGAAGGACCAGGGCAGAGGAGCGCCCCCTGCAGGAATGGCTGCCGGCTCTACTCCTGTCAGCTCCTCTAGCATGATGGCAGGTATGCTCTATATTTTCAGGCTTTCTTTAAGCCCTGTTTGGGATTTTTTGTGAGGGGGTGACAGTGTTTAATTGGGCTTTTCAGTATGTAGTTATTATGCTTTGAGCATTTACTGCAAAATAAATATATGTTGGAAGCATAGGCTAAAATTACTAAACTTAGTTTAGGTATGTCTATTAGGGACATGACTAAGAAGAAAGAAATAGTGCAGCTTTTTTTGCGAACTAGACTAAAATTTCTCTAGCTGATGTTGGCACATTGTCTGCAGAGGAGAAAAGACAATGAGTCCTTATTAGCATTCAGTTACAGTTGTACCGATTAGCTGTGCTAGATCCATAGCTCATTTGAGGCAGCCTCTTTTACTCAGCAAACACGAAAACCTACCCATTTCCCCACTTGGCTATTTTTGAATAATGACACGTTTTCAAATGTATTCCTCTGCTGACTGCTATTTTTTGTGCAATACCAGTGCTGTCACTTAAAAAGGTAAGCCTACAGCCCTACTGTAGCCCTGGACTTCAGCAACACAAACTCATCTCTTGGCGACCTATACATAACTAAGCAGTTGCTCCATGAGCTCAGAAATAAGCCATAGAAATGTTCCAGTACAAACCCAATGTGAGAGAGTGATACTGTCAGTATGAATGTGTGTCTGACGGCTGTTTGTCACTCTCCTGCAGGTATCACCTCCATGGCAGCCAGCACGCAGCCCATAGCCAACATTGCAGCTGGCTCTCCTGTCATCTCTGCCCCTAACACGCTGGCTACACAAGTACCCGCTGCCGCGGGAGCCCAACCTTGAACCTCTTTTTCTCCTTCTTCCTCTCTCTTATTCTTCCTGTTCTCTTATTCTCTCTCTATTCTTTCCTCTTCTTTTTGTTTCCATTGGCAATGTGGACAGAGCCGCTGACTTCATTTTTTTGTTATTATTATGTTGACAGTAACGCAGAACTAATGCTAAGTTACCCTTTTCCTCTACTCTTCAGTTCTGTTGTATAGGGACATGGACTCCCATTATCTTTTAGCACCCGCCTGGGCGAGTTATAATAGGCATATGGGTGCGATTTCTCTCTTATCACCGTGACTGTCTAGAAACACATACACATGTAGACCTGAAGAAGGAAAATAAAATTTATTTTATATGTCCCTCAAGTATTCTTGTGCTTGAAAAACAATTCTTTGACCTACTTGTTCCCGTTTGGTTGTGTTTTTGTGGGGGGGACTCAGCATTTTACTGCTTCACCTTTGGGTGTTATTACACTGTGAAACTTGATTACAGACTTCACAAAACCTGAGCGGGATGCGGACTCGTGTTCAGTGTTCACCGGGTTAATGGTTGCACCCGTCCCGCTGCACCGTGCTGGAGATTCAGTTGTGTTCATGTGGACTTGGACCGGGGGCCAAATTCAATCAAAACTGCTAAAACATTACTGACGGTGTGTATTCAATCATTGTATGTGTGTATAGCAAAACTCGCTGATCAGTAAGTAGACGCTGTTGTTTCATTGTTGCTTTATTGATTATATGGAGAGTTGAAAGCAGGTTGATTGGATTTGGCTGTGGACTTAGATACTCAATAGTTACTTCTAGGACATGTGGCCAATGCTGAGTACCACAGGGTAATTAGTATGCCAATTTGTGTTACTCACAGAACTGAAAATGTCTCTCTTTTCATTTTTTTAATGAAGCTTCTGACATTTGTTTAATACCATGAAGAATTTTGTAAGTTTTTTTTTTTTCTCCTTGATAGATTATTCAGTGAAAAATGTCTCTCAAACTCCATGATTAAATGAGTTAAACAGGCAAAATATCTCTTTAGCACTGCATGTTGTTTTTACTCTGCTATGACTAATTGAAGATAGCAAATATTTACGTTTTTGTTTATCACTCCCCTAAAACTTCTGCTTAGATGGGCAGATCTTTGAGTACCTTAATTTTGATTTGTTTCCAAATGGTTCTTTCTTTTGGTCTTGTCTCAGTAAAGTACTTGGTGTGATGAGTAGTATGTAAGGAGACTGAAAACACCCACTGCCTGTATCAAGTGTGGATAGTTCAAATCTATTAAAACAACATTGTGAATTGTAAATTAAATCATATAAAGTTTGCAGTAGATGTTTTGCAGCTATTTCCTTTCTTTGTTTCTTATTTTTTACTTTTTAAAATGGGAAAATATGTTTAAAAACACATGTTACTTCATTTTACTGTAAGTTCAATCCAGAATTTTTCCTTCCCTAAACAGTGGATGGCATGTCAAGCCAAGTAAAAGACAAGGCTACCTCACATTTATGATTCTCAATAAAAAGGACAATGACTCTTGACTGTTCAGTGAGGTTTAAACAATGTGCTACAGGGGTAAATAGTTACATCATTGGCCCTTTCCCCCCTTTTTTGTTCTTCTTATCACTTCATTTATTATATGGTAATGGTTTTAAATTGGATTTTATTAGCATGTTCCAAAATAACCTGTGTGCATTTCTGTCTTTTGGTCTGTTGTCAGATTGAGCAGGAGACCAGTCATGTACAGTGAGTTTTCAGATACCATAGGCTGCATAGTCTCTGTTGTTGCTAATGGTGATCGGTCTCCTGTGTTATTCTATAATCTGATCAGTGAGGTTCCTGCTCATTATATTAATTTTATTATACTGAAGCAGAAAGGAAGTTTTAATGGGACACTTCCAAGCTAAGGCAGAAATCTGCATCAGTCTATTTGCAGGCAACTGATGTACTTAAACATATATAATTTAGCACTGGATGGACAGTCAGGATGCTTTATTCATTGTAAGAAAGATTATCTGAAGTATCTGACATGCTTTTGTCCCAGAACAAAAGCTATAAACCCTTGGCAAACTTAAAAGCATATTCTGACCACATTCTATAGACTTCCCAAAGACTGTAAATCATGAGACCAGTCATATTAATACTCTGGGAACATGAGCTAGTGATATGTCAGTTCACTTGAGTTTAATTACTTAATGGGCCTTTTAAAAGGCAAGAAATTTGCTTCGCTAGTGCAACATTTTTTACATTTTTTACATTTTAGTCCACCTCGTCAAATCTGTTAAGGAAAGCACAAGTTGACCAAATATTATAAAAAGTGTTTGACTACCACCTAGTGGCTAACCATGGACACATGGTACAATATGTAGTTCTGTTCAAATCTGCTTTATTCAGTGTCTTAAAAGATTCCTCAGTAAATTGATTCATTAGCAATTGATTCTACTGTTCATTGTTTATTATATATATATATATATATATATATATATATATATATATATATATATATATATATAAATCTCGGTTAGTGCATTCTCTCAGATTACTGACAAATGATAAAATGTCATTTTGCAATGATCTGCTGGTAAAAAATTAATAGACAGTGTGGGTTAGTCTGTCCACCAAACTGTAAATATGTTTTTGCAATAAAAGTCTGACTGCAACTTTTAAAGTTTATAATAATCTGGAGTATTTTTGTGTTTTTGGATATCAGTTTTATCAGTCAGTTCATTTTACAGTAGAATTCACATACAGTAATCTTTTCTAAAACATCTATTATCTATAAATCTGTATTTGGAGAGCATCGAAATCAATATTACAGGTGTTAAATTTAAAGTACAAAAAAGTGAGACCTATTAAAGCAGAGGTATTCAAATCACAGCCCTTTAGATTCCACTACAGATTTCACTACCTTTACTTATTGTACTGTGCAAACATCAGAGACCATCCTTCATTTATTTCATTTTCAGTCAAAACTATCACCAAATACAAATGATTATTTTTTTAGCATCAGGGAAAAAGCAGAAAACGTATTAAACAGAAAATTACGCAGAAGCCTCGATAACTAAATTGTACTCTTTGCCTTTATTACAGTGTCCACTTTGACTTCCTTTTAGTTTTTCAAAGAAATCTGCAGGGATATTTTTCTACACCTCCAAAGTTCAGCCTTAGAAGTTAGTTGCATTTTCTCACAATCCAAGTAATCCCAAACACCTTCAGTGATGTCGAGGTCTGGACTCTGGAGTGGTCAGTCCATTGTTATGAGAACACCAGCAGCTTCTTTGCTTGATGTAAAAATGTTCTTTTCTCAGTAATGCCTTCTTGCCAGCTACACATCCTTTGTGTTGAGTTGTCTTCTGACAGTGGAAGGATGGACAGAAACACCTGTGGATTTTTTCAGCTCTGAAGTAAGAGTGGAGCTTGATTTTCTCCTCTCTCTCAAAGATAAAAGCTTTAAGTACTGTTTATCTGATGGTGACAGTTTTGGTGGTCTACCAGGTCTTGCACTGTTGTTTTGAGTCCCACTTTCTCTGTTTGTTTTAATTGTTTTTTGTATTGTAATATTTTTTCCACATATTTTCCTTTGGCTTTCCCCTTCCTTATTAAAGTCTTGTATATAATCTCATCAGAAAAATTTCCTGAACAATGAATAACTCGATGGCCATAATGACTGTTAATTATATAAATGTGGGTGTTCTCTGTCTTTTGCAGAGTACTGTAAGAGTCAGGTCACACAGTGGCAAACCAATTACATTAATTATTCAGTTAACTACTAGAAATTCCCAAATATCCTGGTTTAGAATATCTCTGTATAAAAGTGATTACTTTTAGGGCTGCATATAAACATTGTAAAGAGGAAAGCACACAGTAGCAGGGACGTTTTACATAAACAAGTGGCCTTCAGGGGGAAGGTTTTAACTGTATAGAGAGTGAGTGCTTCATATCATGCATCAACGGTTCTTTGAATGTTCATGGTTCTATATAGAACCATTTTCTTTACTAAAGAACCCCTGAAGAACCATCATTTTGAAGTGTGTAGCCTGTGCTTATGAGCAGCTCTCTTGGTGATGGTCTTTTATAAATAAGGATAAAAGTACTGTAAAACTATTAAAGAATGTTATTTCATCATCACAGTAAATTCACATATCTATCTTGGCTTTGACATCACCAAGTGCACTAGCTCTGTGCTGCTGCTTCACCCATATTTGTGTGCTCTCTTTGTTTCTGTGCCCTGTGTGTGACTTTTCTCCTCATCTTTTCACTAAAGCTCTGAAGCAGCTCATTCAGACTCTTACACAAAGGAAGGAAGTGCCACAGGGCGAGTGCTTCCATGCATCACTCCATGCAGCTCATACAGTCTCACTGAAACGTAACTCAAAGCAGCCTTTTGTGATTGACAGGCTGTTGTTCAGGTGTTCAAATCTCCCCACAGATCACATGATCCTATCTTTTTCTGTGGTGTTATTTTAGCCAGGTAGTAGAATAATAAAGTTTTAGCTTAATTTAATTATTCTTATTGTAATGGTTTGTTCCCTGTACAGATAAATATTGCCTTGTCGTGGACGAAAGTTTTCTTTAGTCTCACTAGTAATGTAACTTAGGACAGAAAATAGAACGTATAAGGAAATTTGGCCCTCTGTATAGAACAGTTCTAAAAAATAATAGAGTGTTATTGAATATAATTCCATGGTTATACAAAAATTGCTAACTAAGTCCTTCATAGGCCTGGAACACATTATGTCAATGTCTATTAGTTAGACAGTTTATGCAAGAAAAACCTCTCTTTATGCCATGTAATGTGCTTCATTCAAAAAGCAGTCTGGGTGAATGAAACAGATCTTATAGTTTTAAAATGTTCAATGGGCACAGCTAAACTGGTGTATAGGCAGATATATGTGATTGTGTTGAGATTTATGGCATTAAAATTATTTTTTGCAGCTTAGTGTTCATATATGGACTGGGGAGTAAATAGTACATTTTCAAACTAACAATGTACTACATCAAGCTCTTTTATTAAAAGAAAAAAGCAAAGAAGTTTTTTTCATGATATGGGCCCAGTACAGGTGCTCAAAATTACCAGGCACCTTGGTATATTTCTAATAGGTGCATTAGCAGTTTTAACACTAGCTAATGCTAAAACTAAGAGGGACTTTACAATGTTTGGTGCTCTCTTCATTCTCTTGCACTCGTAAAAAGAAGATGCCAGAAAAGGTTCTTTGGAGTGATGCCATAGGTGCCATTTTTGGTCCTCTAAAGAACCTTTCAGTAGATGGTTTTTGTCTTAATTTTTGTAAATTGACATGTTCAAGTGTGAAGAACCTTTCTAAAGTGTAAAGAACCACCACTGCGGTTCTATACCACTTAGTATGTCTGCTAGAAATGTACATCCAAACCAAGAACCATTTGGGAACCTTGATTTAAACGGTTCATGGGAAACAGGCATGTTAGGGCATGATTTTTCTTTCTTCCACTGATATTAGTTCCCTGATCAAACCTCTGTTCCTGTCTTGAACAAAACCCCTTGGAAGTAAATGAATGCCCCTCTTCACTGCAACCTTAGCTGCTCTCCTGTGGCTCTATTGTTCTATTCAGGCCTGTTTACACATCAGTGATCTGCACAGGTATAAAGCCCCTGTGCTGGATGGGACCCCATGACTACCTGTTTGCCAATATCACTCTTCAAGATGAGACTGTGAGTAATGACAGTGCTTTTTATTCTGGACAGTCTTTGGAGAAATGGTTTATACTTTTTAACTATTTTAATAGACTAATAAGTCATATTTTGTGTAAAAATATGTCAAATTGTAATCTTAAAAGAACAGAATGGAATTCATGTTGTAAGATAATTATTGCATCAACACTTAAGTTTAAAGTATGTAATAATTTGCTACCTCTTTCACGGTTTCTCTCATGGTTTAGATCTGCCTGCTGCCTTCCTGCCCTGTCATTCTCAGTACTTATAACAGTTGTGTATTCAGCTTCACTGAAAGGTAAGTTTTTGGGCAGTTAAAGACCTCGAATCAAAACTTTTCCTCAGTTTTATCTGTTTAATAGTCTGTTAATCCAGTTCCTGTCTTTTTTGAAGTATATTGTTAAATAGTGACAATGCACACATCCCTGAACATTGTGACCTGTCCCCCTTTTTTTACATTAAACCTTAGATGAACATATTTTGTTACTCTATTAGGTGACTAACAATTTATTCTGACTTACTGATTATAGGGATTTTTTTTGCCTTTTAAATGTTTGGCTGCTAAATAATTTATTCATGCTGATGAATTTCCATTTTCTGTGTCCAGATCAGAATGAAGAATTCCTAAGCTTCTTGACTGGTGGGT